ATCCTTTATAGGAGTAATGGATCCTGCATTTCTTCCTCTAGTCTGACTGCACCTAGCTTGAGAGTGGTTAGTGATACGTCTCCAACGTATCTATAATTTATGAAGTATTCATGCTATTATATTACCCATCTATGGTGTTTTATATGCATTTATATATCATTTTATATGATTTTTGGGACTAACCTATTGACCTAGAGCCCAGTGCCAGTTTCTGTTTTCTCCTTGTTTTTGTGTTCTACAGAAAAGGGATACCAAACGGGAGTCCAAATGATGTGCCAATTTTTGAGGATTTTTTATGGACCAAAAGAAGACCACGGAGCATCGGAGTTGGGCCAGAAGGGTCCCGGGCTGCCCACGAGAGAGGGGGCCGCGCCCCCCTCCCTGGGGCGCGCCCCCCTATCTCGTGGACAGCCCGGAGACCCTCCTGACGTGAAACCAACGCCAATAATTCCTATAAATACTGAAACTTTCGGGAATTAACCTAGATCGGAAGTTCCGCCGCCGCAAGCCTCTTTAGCCACGAGAAATCAATCTAGGCCCTCTCTGGCACCCTGCCGGAGGGGGCCATCATCACTGGAGGCCATGGAGGAGGATCTCGGAGGGGCCATCATCGCCATGAAGGCCAAGGACCATAGGCGGAAAGCCATGGAGGAGGAAGCACAAGGGGGAGAACCTCTCCTACTCTCTCTTGGTGGCACCGGAGTGCCATCGGGAGGGGAATCATCGCCGTGGTGATCGTCTTCATCAACATCAACATCATCATCATCATCCTCATCTCTTTTACGCGGTCCACTCTCCCGCATCCCGCTGTAATCCCTACTTGAACATGGTGCTTTATGCTACATATTATGATCCAATGATGTGTTGCCATCTTATGATGTTTTGAGTAGATATCTTTTGTCTTTGAGTTGATTGATGATCTAGATTGGTACGAGTTGTATGTTATATTTTGGTGCTGTCCTATGGTGCCCTCCGTGTCGCGCAAGCGTGAGGGATTCCCGCTTTAGGGTGTTGCAATACGTTCAAGATTCGCTTATAGTGGGTTGCTAGAGTGACAGAAGCTTAAACCCGAGTAAGGGGGTTGTTGCGTATGGGATAAAAGGGGACTTGATGCTTTAATGCTATGGTTGGGTTTTACCTTAATGAATCCTTTAGTATTTGCGGATGCTTGCTAGAGTTTCCAATCATAAGAGCATATGATCCAAGTAGGAAAACTATGCTAGTTTATGCCTCTCCCTCATATGAAATTGCAATGACGACTATCGATCTTGTTAACAATTGCTTAGGACAATTCCGCACACCGATCCACCATTATTCCACACTCGCTACTTATATTATTTAGTATTATATTCTAAATTTATGATAACAGGACCTACTTTTATATTTAGCTCTCCAATATCATACAAAGTTATCCTCTTTATACTCACAACACAGTTTTATTTCTTATTTCTAGTTGGAAGCAAACATTCGGTGCACGTAGAGTCGTATCAGTGGCAGATAGGGCTTGAGAGAATATTGATCTTACCTTTGGCTCCTTGTGGGTTCGACACTCCATACTTATCACTTCCACCTTTGGGAATTGCTACGATGATTTCTTGCACTTGGGGATTATCAGTTAGCTTGCGATCTACTTGCTCTCCTCTCACCCTCTCCTCTGCTTCTTTATATCACATTAATTTCCAACTCAGTTGACTTACTATCAGTGTGTGTTCCAAACATAAGAGCTAACTCAACATCACACTGCACTGGCACCCAAGCGGTGTTTTCCATGTACCAAAATCTAAATCCAGCAGCATCATATAGGCCCCATGGGTATTTATCAGAGATAGCAGCTATAAACTGGTTAAATGTTGGAACTACTATCACCCACAATAGGACATGTGAACCCTGTGCCGACTCCTTCGGTACCAGCACTTCTTAAGACACCTTTATCCATTCTACAGTTTGATAAAAGGCTCTAACTGGGTCCATTCTATGACAATATTCAACGCAAAGAAAACACATCAACGAAGTGAGCACTACAGCCGCAGTAATGAAAAAAATGGACCTCAATGAGCGCGCATGTCAGTTGTAGGTGACTGTGAAGAGTGACTTACCCCACTGGAATCTCCCTTGTCGTCGTTGCCATGGTCTATGAGCTCCCCTCTCTGCCGCCGCATCAACCACGAATGCCAGCCATGCATCCCGTGTGCTCGCTGCCTCGACCACCGAAACACGATGAAGATGAGTCGTGGAATCATATATCCAGCCCCGCCGCATCTCAATCCCCGCGCTCTCCCTCGTTAGATGCCGATATGAGATGAAATCGAAGAGCTAGAGTTAAGGTTCTTGTCGAGAGACAGTAGAGAGAGGAGAGACCAAATGGTAGACGAAAGTGAGGCTGAGGTTTTGGAACGATTTGACGCGGCCCCACATGTGTCCAGTAAATGTCCGAACACGGTCAAAGGCCCTTGACGGACGAAAAGGGCACATAAGGGTATTTCCATAAGGGAACCACTCAGTAAAAGGGCAAATTTTGGCACATGGTTTTTTTAGGTGTTAATGCCAGAGTTGGGGCCAATTAGGGGAGGGGGGATGTAAATGTTCCAAGGAAAAACAGTTAGGGTGGTTCTCGAGGCCACCAAAACCAAAGCTTGATGGGGCCCAAACATGACAGGGCGACGATAGATAATTGCTCAAATGGTAAACACATAAAATGCATAAGGCACAACTAACAAAGGCGAGATCGAACGGAGCAAAGCAGTCACACTAGATATGTGGAAGAGGTGACGCCGAGGAGGGCCAATCAATCGTGGTTCTTGCGGTTAACCCTGACATAATCCTCAATTCCTTCCTCCATCGCACCAACTGGACATCGATAGCATCGAGCACAAAGACGTTAGACACAGGCAGATCAGGCTGGGCGAGGATGCCCGATGTTACTTTGTCAACGACGGGCAACTTGGAGATCTTTGTGATGTCAAAGCCCTTCTCCTTGGCACAGACGGCCTTGGTTTTCATGTCTGGCAAAGAGAGGGTCTTCCTTGAGAGCCACACGCGCTTGATGTGTCAGCAAAGAGAGGGTCTTCCTTGAGAGCCGAACGCAGTTGTCATGCCAACAAACAGAGGGTCTTCCTTGAGAGCCAAACGCAGTTGTCATGCCAACAAACAGAGGGTCTTCCTTGAGAGCCAAACACACCCTCCCGCGGGTCTCTTTGAATCTTGTAACTTTGGAGTTGAATTCATGACAAATGTGCTACCAATAAGATGATTGCTCTGTCTGACAATGTACTAACTTTATCATAGTATGCATCTTTTTATCTGAAATACATATGGATGATCTCAAATCCAAAATCTGATGGATGTGTTACAAAAATGTGATTGTTTCTCTGTTTGCTATATATTTTTTAAATGGCCTTTTTTGTATCTTTTAATCTACATAATCAACTCATTCAATAGATACTTGTTTGAAAAGTTCAGAAAATGAGCTACAACTTTAGCGAAGATACCATTTTTTGTCTTGTCATTAAGTAGTCCTAATCTTCAATTTAAGTCAAACCACACTATCTATCTGAAAATTCAGATAGTCATCCTTCATTTTATTTTGTTAGCTTCTAAATTACATGTACAAAAATCATGAAATTTCCCTGGAGCAAGGAATTTTCATCCTATACAAGTCTCTTGATATTTTTGACTCTAGGAAACCTCATTAAGATGGCCAAGAGCAAACTCAACTTTGACTAGCAAGTCTGTCAGCCTTTTAGGACAGTCAATTAGGAAAATACACATCTTCTAAACCAACAGTCAAAACATTCTGAAACTTTTACAGCAGCTCAGCCTTGAAGATATATATAGCTGCGACTTTGTAGCTAATGATTTACAGTATATAGGAAAATCATATAGCTCATCAAAACCTCTACAACAGGCACGCTGCTAAATCTGTCTGCGCACACAACACTATGTTTAATAGCAGCACTCTGCATTGCTATCAAATAATGGTACACGATAATAGCACTCTGGATTCCTATCAACCATATACAGTAACTTTGTACATTGTTTTTAGAGGACCAGCGTAAACTGACAGAAGTCCAGAGATAATAAAATTGAGAAAGTATACTTTTCGTCCCTCAACTTTTAGTGGACTCTAGATTTGGTCCCTCAACTCCAAAACCGGACAACTTTTGGTGGAGGTCAGCACGGTCAAAACCGGGGTGGGACAGTACCAACTCCGGTCAAAACCGTGACCAGGAATGAATCTTGTCCGGTTTTAGAAGTTAAGGGTGCAAGTTGTCCGGTTTTAGAGTTAAGGGACCAAATCTAGACTCCGCCAAAAATTGAGGGATGAAAAGTATACTTGACCGGTTTTGTGACACATCACGAAATCTTTGAAACTATTTGCATCTACAATTTGATCACTACATATACATTAGAATAGAACTGCATCATGAGAGAACAGAGTTGTCAGGAAGCAATGGACTGAGAAGATCAAATGTGAAACGCCTGACTATACCTGGCCATGGGAAGCCCGACCCGGCCCGGCCCGACGCTGCCCCCGGGCCGGGCTTGGGCCTAGATTTTGAGCCCGAAGGCCGGGCTGGGCCGGGCCCGGGCCTGGGTTTTTTGCGTCGGGCTTGGCTAGGCCCGGCCCGAAGACCGGCCCGGCCCGAGGTATGGCCAGGTATACGCCTGACCATGGAGCACCAGTTGAAATCTGAATGTTCTTTCCCCCCATTTGATATCCACCCATCATTTCCCATTGCACTATTGCCCAAATCTTTGATGAAACAATTCGCTTTTTTACGATGAAACAATCATTAATAAGTTCCTCCTCATTACACACTTTTATTGCATCAGATTCTTTTATAAACAAGTAAAAAAAATCAAAGAAAAACAAGACTAGTTCTACGTTCTACACAAAGGCATAAATATAATGGTACAATGCAATTTCCCTTTCCCTCCCAATATTTTGCACAACAATGCACCAGATGTTGATCATCATCACGGCGAGACACCGATGAGAATCAGGCGGAGCTCCACTGGCTGGCCTTCTCGAAGCCGTTGCGGCCGTAGTAGTAGTCCTCCATGGCCTGCTGGATCTGGGCACGCGAGTTCATGACAAAGGGCCCCTGCTGCACCACCGGCTCGTTCAGCGGCTGCCCCGCCGCAAGGGTGAACCGCAGCGGTGCGCCTGACCTATTCCACACGCTGAGCCCGTCCCCCGCGCCAAGCACAAGGCAGTGGTGCGTGCTCGCCGGCGCTGCATTCTCCTTGCCGAACACGCCCTCCCCCTCGATGACGTACACGAAGGCGTTCCAGCCCTCGGGGATTGGCTGGTGGAGCTGCGAACCTGGTTGCATTGTGAAGTCCATGTACATGGTTGGCGTACGCGTGTAGACCGGCGACCGCACCCCAAATGCTTCCCCAGCGATGATCCGCACCGCCACGCCGTCCTTCTCGGCCTGGCTAATGTCCTTGCTCTCGAGCTCCTGGTACCGCGGCTCGATCCTGGCATCGATGAATGGGCATTTTCAGAAGCAGAATTAGTGTGTGAGTGGTTGATCATTGTCATGTATAGAAGTTGACTTGATATGGAAATAACTATTGACATGATACGTACATCTTGTCTTTGGAGGCGAGGTTGATCCAGAGCTGCAGGCCTTTCTGCACTCCGTCTGCTGCCGGCATCTCTGAGTGCACGATGCCACGCCCCGCCGTCATCCACTGATGAGGAACAGAGCATTCAGATGCAATGTTAGTTCTCAATGTTGATCCAGAGCTGCATGAATGATGATGGTTTGTCTGAACAAATTGGATGAGTAGGTCGCACCTGCACATCTCCGGTCCTGATGGTGCCCTTGCGCCCCGAGAAGTCCTGGTGGGTGAAGGCCCCCTGCATCGTCACAAAACCCAAAAGACAAGAAAGCATTTCAGCAAACACCTTGCGGGCCGTATCAACATGGTGGAACAGAGCACGAGATGGAAGAAGCAGAGCATGCTGGGATGCGTACATCGAGCATGTAGGTGACGGTCTCGAAGCCACGGTGAGGGTGGTCGTGGAAGCCGGCGGGCTTGGAGACGGAGAACTCGTCGAGCAGGAGGAACGGGTCCAGGTTCCGGAGCTCGTGCCTGCAGCATCAAGAAGAGACAGACTGATGTCAATGACAGCTTCCCATAATGAGAAATTCAGAATTCATCGCGATTGGTGTCGTACCGGCCGATGCTCCGGCGGACGGTGGCGCCGTCCCCCTCGGACTGGGACAATGACAGCACCTTCTTCACCACCTTCCTCGGATTCTCGAACGTCACGGAGGAGGAAGACGAAGACATGATCGCTGGTGGGAGCAAGAAGACGGCCGTCACAACAAGAATCAGGAGGAAGAGGATGACCAGGAACAAAAGAGGTCTGGTGTTGGCGCTACTTGTACAGCTTGAGCTTGTCTTCCTGGACGCGAGATGAACACAAAACAATGGCTATTCTGCCTGGTGAGCCGCGCGAGCGCCCTATAAATAGGGGGAGAAGAAGAAGAGGAGAACGAGAAGAGGGGGAGGGGCTGCCTCAGCATCGTCGTCGCCATGACCTCCTCCTCCTCCTCCCGGTGGGCGTTGAAGTAAGAGGTGGAGCGTGCGGTCAGCGCAGCGCGGCTGCTTCCATTTTCTATTCTTTTGCTGCTTGCGGCTGCGGCTTGCGGTGGGTGGTGCTGGTATGTACGTGCCCGACGACGTGCTGGCGTGAGGCCGTCGTCACCCCCGCCGACGACCCCCACAAATTATGATGCCTATGCAACAAATCTTCTTTTTTTGTGAACGGCTATGCAACAAATCTACCCTAAAAAAAGGGTTAAAACTTGGTCGCACACACCCCACGCAGAATGGAAACTAAAGCAACACAGAAAAAACATTATTGCAACATTCTAAAATCATTGCACTACGTCTCTCATCTCGATCCTGGATCATGACATAC